AAATATAAAAAATCTAATAATAAAATAATAAATCAAAAATATTACTATAATAAAATAAATAATATTAAAATAAATAAATAAAATAATCAATATAAAATAATAAAATAAATAAAATACTAAAAATATAAACTATAATAATAAAATAAACAAACATAAAATAATGATAAAATAAATATTTTTTAAATTATTTTTGTCTTTGAAAGTATGGAGAAGCATGGTTATTTGTGATGCAAACACACTTTGACGCACCTCAGTGTCCTGTATTTTGTTCTTGAGCGTCTGCTGCAGGAAGTTGAAGGCGTATTCCTGAGTGTTTGCTTCGACCATCACCTCCCGCGCCTCCTTCAGCTCTTTCTGCAGACACACACACACACACGTGTTGATAACCTGCGAGCTGACGGTGTGTGTTCTGCTGTGGTATGTGGTGTTTGTACCTCCATCTTTTTGAAGCGCTCCTGCATGACGTTGTTGTTGCTCTCTAACTCCACGATGTTCTCGCGCAGCCGGTTCGTCTCGCCCTGCATCTGTGTGTTCGTCCGCAGCAGATCTTCATTGTTCACCAGCAGACCTCGCATCTCGAAGCGGATCTGGTTCCTCTCCTTCTCCATCTCGATGCTCTCCGCTTCCAGAAACTGGTTCCTCTGCAGCACATAAACAGACATATTAAACATAATCTGCATTCTGCATGGATTCTGACTGTGTTTTGTGGCCTGAACATCAGTATATTCATAATGGCATATTACCAATTGTGAATTGTGCATCACATGTGAATTAAAGTGTGATTTATGGATGATTTATGACTGCATTTGTGCGTTGCATACTGACCCTGCGACAGTCCTCCAGCTGTTTGGTCAGTTCCTGGATGAAATCCAGTTTGTTCGGTTGGTTGTTTCGTTGCATGAGTTGACTTGGAGTCGCCTTCAGGAGACAAAATATGAGTTTTAATAAAAATCATCCTCTGGGACATGAAGGTGCTCAGTGAATAAACATCTATTTATTGCTTTATTGCTTTTAATTATATAATAAATAAGTACATTTAATAAATTATTTATTGTATTATTTATTAGAAAACCTATGATAAAATATAACAAATACAATAAATGTAGTAAATTATTTTATTTATTCATTTTGTTTTAATACATATTAAATTTACATTTATATGCATTATTTATTTTGTTTTAATATAAATTGATAGCTTTATTTTATTTTAATATAAATCGATTGCTTTCTTTCTTTCTGTATTTATTTATTTATTTTTTAATACAAACTGATCACTTTATTTTATTTATTTATTTATTTTTATATTACATTTATATTTATGTATGTTGATTGCATTTTTAAAATATAAATTCTTTATTTTAATATATATTTTACGTTTATATTTACATATATTATTATTTATTTTATTTTAATATAAAATGTTTTATTTATTTTATTTATAAATTTAATTTAAGTTTTTTTATTAATATTTTGAATTTTTTGTTTATTTTTATTTATATTTTGTTTTCATTTTAATTTTTGTTTAAAGTTTTAGTAATTTTGATTACAGTAAGTTTGTTTTGTTTTGTCATTTTACTAGTTTTTGTTTTCATATTTATATACAATATTCAATATAAATTTTTATTTTATTTTTTATAAATATGTCAGTTTTGATTCATTTTTATTTCAGTTTTAGATTTTGAAACAGAATGAGATAGAATAAGTTTAAATTTTTTTATATTTTATTTTATTTCAGTTAACATACATATAATTTGAATATAAATTGATTGCTTATTTTATGGATGAATATGTATTTCCTGCTTCTCTGTGGAGCAGACTCACGTCTCGTCTGCGAGTCAGACTGTCGTATCCGGGGACTCGTGTGCGGTGGTTCACAGCTGGACTGCTAACAGGACTCACGCTTCTGTTCAGACCAAACAGACTCATCTCAGAGCCGGCAGGTGACATCACTTCCTGTGTCTGACAGACCAATCAAAACACATTCAGAGCACTGCTTCAGTATCATGACGTCTGAATTCATCTGAAGTCATAGAAGCTATAATAATTCTAAAAGAAGTAGACGGTCATTGTTGAAGAGAGTGAAGTGTTGTATGTGAGACTGTAGGACACACGTTCATGTTCTGTCCACTAGAGGGACACACACTCACTCACTCACTCACTATCATCTGTATAACCTGAGTTTATTCACCTTGAAGTCAGACATTCTGTTGATGGGATTGTAGTCCAGCGAGAGCGTCGAATACGGACTGTTGAAAACTCGGGGAGGACTTTCAAAGCCGCCCATCTGAAAGAACACAGAGACATTACTGTAAAGGTTCTTTCTGTCATGCTCTAACAGTAAAGCATTGTGTTCCTTTTTAAACTGACACCATAATATTTATAATAGTAATAGTAATAATTCCTATAAAAATGAAAAATAGTTGAATGAAAAAATTA